GAGTTTCAATATGCCTTCCTTCAAGAAAAGCATCAGGGTCAAAGTCTTTAAAAAAAGCAATTTTAATTTTTAAAATTTGTACACATCTATATGGAGAAATAGAAGAGAAAATGAAAAGAAGCCATTCTTCATGGAATTAACAAAATAGAAAATAGGGATTATGGACTTAATATTAACCTGCAATTACACACCCAATTTTCCCTTGCCAGCATTAATATTTACATTTTATCCATCATGATTAAAAGAAGTGGCTGGACTGAGCATGTCAAACTATTTTTCTCAGTCCTTGATATCATTGTATTAATTATCAAAGCAGCCCACATACTCTGAGTTGGACAAATCTCTGTATACAGAATATTAACTGCTAAGAAGAATTTAACTGCATTTTATTTTCTACTTAAGAAATCTCCAGCCTCATCCCTCGTTCTAGAAAGGGCAGAGTGTAGGGTCCGTGGGCATCGCCTCTGCAGGTGGTAGGATTTCCCATTCGTCAGTCATGTGGCCATGTTCCTGTCAGACCCATTACCCCAGCACAGTCCGTGCTGACTCCAACATGTGCCTCCTGCAGCCCAAGTCAAAGAATCCGACAAAAACTGGGCTCTCAGCGCAAGTGCAATCCAAGTCGGGGAAACGGATGAAGGGGATGTGATTGCCCAGAAAGATTCCACATCCTCTGCTCTTTTACCACAGCCTCTTTGTCTGGACTGTCTCATGTGGTTGGTCCCTGGAGACAGTAGCGTTTACTATTACCTTTTCTATTTTTCCAGGCAAGGACTCTTAAAAGTTCCTCTGGCTCCCAGCAGGAACTTTGCATACTGTATTCATTGTCTCTCCCTTTGTCCCTTCTTTTTTAATCTTTTTCCCCTTTTCACCACCGCAGACTCTCTAGTTCAAGCAAACTGTCTTTTCAGTTGTGCATCTTTCTAATGGACGGAGTGAACCCTTGGGCCTTGCTCCTATGGGACCAAGTTTAGCTTTACTTTGTGGTTTATTGGCCTGAACTTTGAGAGGGTCAGGTTGGGTTTTTGCACGTGGCTCACCTTTGCACTGCAGACTTGTGGAAGGAAGTAGAGGGGGGCTGCCTTGCAACTGTGTCTGAGCTTTCATTGATATTTACAAGTCTTATGTCAAAAAGAGATTTGCCTTTTATTTCTCCCCACAAGAGAATGGGAAATAATGATGCATGTTTAATGTTTGTCTTCAGAGCCATTGTGAATGCTTCTGTTTTAAAACCATTAAGTGGAGGCTCAGTCTAAGCTTTCTAAAATCCTTTAGGGGGCGAAGGGGGAGAAGCAGAAAATGGGAGGATGATGGATGGAAGATGGATGGGCAGATGGATGAACATTTTCAACACTATTTTATTGAGTCAACATTGGCTGAACACCTACTATGTAAATGTTCTCTCCTTCACTTTTCTGTCTTGAATCTAGCCCCTCCATTGTATCTCTGCCATTCTTTCCTAGTCCAGAACCACCTCACATCTTGCCTGAATTTTCACAACCACCTGATGAATCTCACATACTCTCTAATGTCATTCCTTCTTTGCCATGACCAGGACCACCTTTCTAACACAAAACCCACATCACTCTCCTGCTTCACAGCTTCCACAAACTCCCAGATGCCTACAAGATAAAATCCAAATTCCTTTCTCAGCTCCTCAGTTTCAAGCCACAATTTCCATCCCTAGTCTTATTATCTCCTTATCTCCGCCATGCACTCTATGCTGCAAACACTACAGAATTCTTGCTGGAAAAGACAGACTCAATTTCAAAACACTATTTGCTAGCCCTGTAAAAATGGCTCAAAAGTCACTCACCCTGAACCTTATATTTTTCCACAGTAAAATAGAAATTGATTCTAAAAGGTAAGAGTTGTGCCCCCACTGCGCAGCTCAATGACGGAGCTTAGAGCTATAAACCAAGAGGTCATGTTTCGATTCCAGTCAGGGCACATGCCCGAGTTGTGGGCTTGATCCCCAATGGGGGGCATGTAGGAGGCAGACTATCAATGATTCTCTCTCATCATTGATGTCTCTATCTCTCATTCCCCCTCCCTTCCTCTCTGAAATTAAAAAAACAAAACAACAACAACAAAAACACATGTATTTTTTTAAATAAAAGGTAAGGGTTATAAAAATGTAAAATATAATGTTAGAAATTATCAAGTCAGTTTTTCTATCTGTGTCTTTGTAACGTCATTCCCTCTACCTGAGGTTCATCTTTCTCTTCTTCATGTAACAGACAAACTCTTACTCAGACCCAGGGCAACCGGCATCTTCTCCACGGTTGTTTTTCTGTCTCCCCTGATTGAGTTAGATACTTTCTTCTTTAGGCTCCCACAATAACTCAGGACACTCGTTACATAATGATATGATATGATAATATTGTAAAATCCTAAAAATAACATATTTTTAAAAATCTGTACCTTAACCTGGCTTATGATAGTTTCTCAAAAAGTACCTCTTGAATGAATATATGAAGGCACTATGCTGGGCTCTGCAGTCTAGTTCTTTAAGAGCTCATAAGCTTGAAGGACGGGGAACAAACAGAATCTACACAAATAACCACAATGTGTGTCTGCCTAGATTAAGGGTTTAATTGGAGGTAGAATCAAAGTGCAATGGTAGCTGTACGAGGACACAGAGAAGCAGGAAACTTTCACCAGAAATGGACATCTGAGCTGAGTTCTAAAGCATGCATGTGGATTTAACTTCCAATTTTGCTTAACCTGCCCATCTGTTTATTAGGTCCATTCCTCCTCATACACCATAAAACCCTAAGCTTCGGTGGTATAAGACTAAATAATTCTAAAACTTTGGCCAACAATTCCCAGAATGTTTTTCACAATGCAATTTTGAACAGCAATTTAATTTTGCTTATTAACCCTGAAGCCTGTAAATTTTAGCTAACAAATCAGCATATCTTTGAAGATGAAAACAAACTATGCCAAGAATATAAAGGTTTGAAAACTAAAGAGCTATTAAAAAAATCTATGTTTTCATTATATACCTGCTGAGTTATAGATGTTTTTTTAGACTCTAAATAATTAAACTGCCCAAGTGAAATTGAAAAATGATGAACCATGACATAACAATCTATTTTAATATGATGTATAGAGTTGTTCCTGCCCTTTTTTATAATATAGGAAGAAATTCAATAAAATTTTGAATATAAGATTTTTAAAGAAAGTATAGAATACTAAGCAGTGAAAGTCTAAAAAAGGCTAAATGCTGAATCTGTTAGAGCATAACTATAATCATAAGTTAGCATTCGTACGGTAGTATTTTCTACATCTACCACTTTATAATTCTGATTGAAAAAATCTAGTAAATATTGAAACATCTTCCTTCAGTGCAGCAGTGGTTCCAAAACTAAATTTCTCTGCTGCTTCCATTGTAGTCACACTGCTTGAACTATATAAAATGACCTAAGAATGGTAATTTACTTATTTAGTGTTTATAATGTCCTAGGCAATGGGCTATATGATATATTTTTTTAATTTGGGAAATTCATTAGGAGTTTCTCCATCACTAAAACGCTATTTCACACCTTATATACCAAAAGCTTAGTAAGGCCAAAGAAGTTATAATACCTAAGTACTGCTTTGAGAGTTATCTTGGAGAATTTTTTTAAATGGCTATTTAGAAAAACAAACTGTCATAGAAAAAATTACAATTGAAATGGCACACTCTGAAACACAAGAAAGATTCCATTTCTGTATGAGCCAAGAACAGTCAACAAGCTGAAAACCAGTTATCTTCATTCTGCTCACACCCTATATACAGAATTCCCAAGTAATTTGGACAGTATTCTGAGATATTGCCTTGTTCATGTGTTCCAACAGCAGATGGAATTATGAGGGAAACTCTTACCAGCTCTGTCCAACCTCAGGGGTTTGATAACAGGTTTTAAAGTAGATCTCTTCTGTCTGGTTTTTTCACTCAAATTTCATATCTTCAAACCCCAAATCATCAGTATTTAAAATACAATACCAACTACAACTCACTTTGGATAAATGGCCCTAAAGACTGATTAAGTTTGTTACTACCTTTTTTATGAATATAATTATTTTATCTTTTTTAACTCTTTTAAAGAAACATTTCATCATATAAAAAAAATAGAATATAATGCCCCCATGACCCAATGTCAATAATTATCAACACATGAGTCCTGTTATTCCATCTATAACACCTCTCCTGTTATAAATTATGTAAGATATCTACATGGTTCCAAACTCAAATCCACAAAAATAATGTCATCAGAGAAGTCTAGCTTCTATCCCCATCCCTTTACTTCAGTGTTTCCCAAACTTTTGACATATGTGTAACCCTTCTATAATTTTCATAACACTGAGTACCCCTTGTACTCATGAGAACGTAGAATTAGGTGCAGCTAAGCACGGTGCAGTGCATATCCCCACCAAACTCTGGTGCAATGCGTACCCCTACCAAACTCTTCCCGTACCACTGGGGATACATGTACCACACTTTGGGAAACACTGCTTCTCCTTCCTCCATAGAAAACTATTTTATATTATTGTTTAATCCTCTCCTTTTTAAAATATGAGCAAATATATTTATTAATTACCTCTTTTCTGAGCTAAACAATGAGAGGTCCACGATTTTCAAAATATTTTAAAGTATTTGGAGTGTAAATGGACTGTTAGTGGAATTTTAAGCCTAAAGCAAGAGGCATAGTAATTTGTATTTATTCTTTAAATAACTGATTATTTGAACACTTTACAACTTGTAAGACCCAGGTGTGTGATCAATCAGAGAAGGAAAAGGCAACACACTTTGATTAAAAGGCTGAAAATTAAAAATAGGCAATAAAGAGATTGTCTGAAATTTTTTAAATAGACAGTAGTGTTAAAAACGCTCTCATACAATTGGAGTACCTCCCAAAGGCATTCCAATTGTCAACGCATTAAGAACAGGTTCCTTTGAGCAGAGTGGAATTTCATTTACGAACCCTCAAATCAATTGATATCCTTTCTCATAGATCGAATTGCACAGAACATCATTAAGTCCCACTTGGAGACATGTCAATACACCATGGAGGAGCTACACCAGCTGGCGTGGCAGACCCACACCTATGAAGAAATTAAAGCGTATCAAAGCAAGGTACTCCTGTAGTTTCTCTATTTCTGGCTTTCTCAACTTCACAAGTACTGACATTTGGGGCTGGACAGTTCTTTGCTGTGGGGACTGTCCTATGCATTGCAGGATGTTTAGCAGCATCCCTAGTCTCTCCCCACAGGGCACCCCTCACATACAAGTATAACAATCAAAATGTCTTTGAGATTAAGACCCTCAATTATAAGATCTACCAATAAATGAAATTTTAATTAAATGTATAAATCTTCCTGTTTCTAAATATTTGACTATAACATATATTGGAGCAATGAAATCTTTTCACTTTTATATAAATGGAAAGACAAAAGTATAGTTATGCTCAATGAAAACTGGAATTAACACAGTCAGATTTATGCTTCCCATTCCAAAGTAAATAACCCAGATATCAAAATACATTTCTGGGATTCTATATTACTTAAGAGGGCAATTTGATTTGATATCTTTTCCCTTAAAATTAATTTTATACCCAAAAAAACTGCTGTAAGTTCTGGGAAAAGAACACAAAAATCAAGATTACAAGGTTAGTATCATCAGGTATACATGAAAATAAGGCTTTTATAACTTTATAAAAGTCTGTGGGTGAAATTGGTATTCCTCAGTGCAAGAGTTTGGTTTAACAAAATGGACTAAGTACTTGAGTTTATTTAGGTGAGGTGATGGAGGACAAAGAGGAGAAAGGATAAAGAAACTATAAATAACTATCTTTACATTCTCTGACAATGTTCCCATGATTCAAGGCTCAGTACTTTGATAACTGTGGCATATCAAGATTTCAAACAGGTCAAAATAATATCTTAGAAAATATTGCCCACCTCTTTTAAAGGAATCCGGTAAGTCCCCCCACCCCCTTGGTCCCTAAGTGACAGATAAGCATAGTCGAGCAACCCTGAGTATTTCATTGACTCTCCCAGTTGCCCTTTATTGCACTTGCATTCTGTCTTTTTCTCTCTTGAAGTCCAGGGAAGCACTATGGCAGCAATGTGCCATCCAGATCACTCACGCCATCCAGTACGTGGTAGAGTTTGCAAAGCGGATAACGGGCTTCATGGAACTCTGTCAAAACGATCAGATCCTACTTCTGAAGTCAGGTAAGCAAGGCAGAGATGGGGTGGGCCTATTTTAGATCAGGATGTGGTCGACCCCGAGCTCAGTGTTGGTTCTAGAAAATCCTCCTTCCAACATATACCTCGGTTTTACCACCCACACTGTCAGCCAACTCCCAAAGGAAACTCTCAGCAATAAAAATGCCCTGATACTCACTCAGTTCCCCCTTTGAAGTCAAATACAATTTTGCTTATTGAAAGTAGAGCTATTAATTGCAAAGGTTGAGATACTCAGCTTGACAGGCAGTGCAAGTAATTAGTGTGTCAAGGTGGCTGAATTGCTGAGCTGGCTCTAAAATGTTCTATTTGCCTTCTGCTGGGGGGATGTCGGAGGGCGGGGGGATCCAGGCTAGCTGAGCTCTGCCTCTGTGGTCATTTCCAATCATTTTAATGAGGATAGCCTGCAGCCAGAATACACGGGGAGAATTTCCACGTGCTCTCATTTCCTCCTCCTCCTCTCACTGACTCTGACACACACACAATGAGGAGGTAGCTTAAGAAACTGCACATGATTGACTCTGCAGATACTATTACCCAAACAGGAAAAAAAATTATTTGTCTTTCTTGGCCCTATTTGAAAATAGAAGATAAGAACCACCATGGAATATATATTAATATTCATGGCCTCTAGACCATAGTAATAATAATGTACTCATATTTATAACTAGAGGCCTGGTGTACAAAATTTGTGCACAAGGGGAGGAAAGGAGGGTCCCTCAGTCTGACCTGCACCCTCTCCAATCTGGGAGCTAGTTGGACATCCCTCTCACAACCGTGGACTTCTGGCTCCTAACTGCTCACCTGCCTGTCTACCCTAACCATCCTGCCTACCTGCCTGATCCCCCTAACTGCCCTCCCCTACCGGCCTGGTCACCCCTATAAACTTTTTTTTTAACCTTATCCCCTTCACACACAATTGCATTTGACTTCCTCATTGGCTTCTCCCTCTCACACAATTTCTCTCTCTCTTTTATATAACACTTTTTTCTACTGACTCATCATTTATAAACTTTTTTCCCCTCCTTATTGCCTACTTCTATGCTATCATCCTTCTTCCCATCATTCTCCTGCCCTCCCTCCCTCCTTACATTCCTTCTTTCCTTTATCTTTACACTTTCCCTCCTCCCCTTTTCCTTCTTTCCCACCTTAATTTTTTCTTCACTTCCTCCCTTGGACCTGCTTTGCTTTCTCCCCCATTTCTTCCTTCTTTCCATTCTCTTTCTAAACTCTACCGACTTCCCTTTAAAGCTTTTCTTCCCTCCCTCTTTCTCTGTCATCCTTCCTTTCCCATACATTCTTCTCTACTTACTTCCACTGTTTTAATATCTACCTGCTGAATTATTCGCTATAATTTATCTTTTTTTCTTTTCTGACTCCTACTTTAAAAAATCTGTCCCCAGTACACAACTATACTTGACTTTCATTATAGCTCCTACAGTTCACTCATACATCCTCTTTCCTTCTTTAACTCTGCTCTCTACTGACTCCTTTATAAAGTTCTTCCCTCCTTCCCTTCTTTTTTTCAGGGGAGCATTAACCCCAGCCCAAGGCTCAGCCCCAGCCAGGTGTTTGCTGCCCCCCACCCCAGCCTCTCCACTGCTGTTCTGAACCCATCCCTGCCTGGGTCACTAGCCCAGCGAGGGTGGCCCAGGCCCGTGGGGCCCGGGTGCTGCGGCCAGGAAGCAGGAGGAACTCCACCTAGAAGGCCCTCCAGACCATCCACCACTTCATCCCGAACCCATGGGTGCCTCCCCGCCAACAGCCTGTGTCAGGGGCCACCGCCCTCCTCCCGTGTCTGGGCAGGGTGCCCCACTCTGTGCCACCTGCACCCCACCCCTCACTGGGTGCCCCTGCTCCATCCCACCCCCGCGGTCACCACCCCTTCCCAGTGCAGCCCTGCATTTCCTTCCCTTTTCCATTCCTGCGTCTTTTTCTTGTTCCCTTTCTGTATTTCTGTTTCTCCTCGCAGGCTGTCTGCATGCAGGCCTGCCTTCCTCTCCCTCTCCTTTCTTATCCCCTCCTGTCATATCCTATCCTACACCGGGCCTTGCAGCTGCCTGAGCAGAGGTCGGGGAAACAGCCTGCTGATCCGGTTGTGATGTGACGCTGTAATGGGCAATTTGCATATTCCTCTATTATTACATAGGACAGCATACATATATGTGTTTATGCTTACCTATGACATCTTATTTAATCTTATGAGGTTGGTATTATTTCCATTTTATAGAAGAGGAAGTGAAGGTTTATAGAAGTGGAGGCTCAATGTGACTCAAGTGTTCATTATCGCAAAACTAATATACAGCAAAGCTAGCATTTGAATTTAGAATGCACATAAAATTCTAAGTTGCTGCTTCTTTACCAAATGGTACAGATTGATGTAAATCTTGGCTCAAACATTAACTTGATTACCCTATTGCTGTGTAAAAACAACCCCAAAACTAGTTCAAAGGACAAACATCATTTATTTGGCTCTCCCAAAGCTACAATTTGAGCAAGGCTCAGCAGGGATGGCTTGTCCTGCTCACTGAGGCAACTTGATGGGGGGCAGTGAGGGAATCCATTTTCAGATTGGCTAACTCACATGGCTGGCAATTTGTGCTGGTTGACAGCCCAAAATTCAACCAAGGCTCTGGGCTGGGCGCCCCAGTTCTTATCCACGCAAGCCTTTCCACAGACTGCTTGGACTTTCTCACAGCATGGTTACTAGGTTCCATAAGCTAGCATTCCAAGAGAACAAGGCAGAAGTACCTAGCATTTCTCTGACTTAGCTTCAGAAGGCAGTACTGGAGTCAGTCATGAAGGCCCATCTGGGTTCAAGGGTAGGAGACACAGGTTCTACAACTTGATGGGGGAGCGGTAAGGTTTTAGAAAAGCATGTGAAATGGAAGATACTTTCATGACTTTCTTTGAAAAATAAAATTCACCACAGCTGATATGTGACCTTGAGGTAACCTCTCTAGATGAAAGCTTCCTTGTTTGTAAAGTAAAGAGACTGGTTAGAAAGAACAGATTCTAAAGCTGGAATTGCATGAGCAGTGTCAGAGGAGCTTACTGACTGAGTCATGGGTGTCATCTGAGGCCCATGAAATCAGAATCTCCTAGAGGGGAATCCAATCCATTGTATTTTTTAAAAAGTCTCAGATATAACTGGTCCATGGACTGACATTTGTGAACCATTGGACCGTATAATTTTTATCATCTCTGCCTGCATCAAAATGTTGATTTTAATATAAAAAGCAGAGTACTTAACCTCTTTGTCTCCTGTAACTTATCCATAGAAACGAGCTAATAAAACTTACTCTAGCCCTATCCAATTTGGCTCAGTGGATAGAGCTTCGGCCTGTGGAACCAAGGGTTCTGGGTTCAATTCCGGTTAAGAGCACAACCAAGGGTTCCATACCTAGGTTGCAGGCTCCCCCCCAACCCAGGCCCTGGTCAGGGCATGTGCAGGATGTGTTTCTCTCACATCGATGTTGTCCTCTATCTTTCCCGATGTTTCTCTTCATCTTTCCTACTCTCTTCCACTCTCTCTAAAAGATCATTGGGAAAAAGATCCTCAGGTGAGGATTAACAACAACAACAAAATTATTTTAAAACTTACCTGACATGGTATTGTAAGGGACAAATAAAATAAAGAATGTTCCACATTGTAGATATTCGATAAATGGGACCTACTGTTTCTGTTAGAAAAGCATTGCTTCGATTAACATTTGCAAAACTCCTCTTATGTGCAAGCCCCTATTCCAGGTGACCTATGAGGGACAGCAAAGGGAAATCAGCAGAATGAAAGGAACAGAACACAGGCATAGATACAAGGCAGCTGCATAAGAAAGGCACCATGGGTGCCCTTGGGTACACCACTGGGAGTGGCCAAATCACCCATATAGTCCCTCATGCAAATTTGTGGCTTCTGAGTCTGGCTGTCACCTTCCAAGGTCTATGGGGCAAAATCCCATTTCTCCCAATGTGGAGAAACTGCAGCAATATAGTTCCTCAGGAGGCCAATAAATATCCGGGCAGGGGAGTAAGGGGGGCGCTAAGGGTAGTAAATGAACTCACTCAATAAACATGTATTAAGCAACTATTATGTGCCAGAGACTTTTTAGGTCATGGAAATATACGAGTGAATAAAATACCGCTGCCTATGGCTACAGACAAGGGTCCTGTCCTCAATGGGCTGGCTAACAGTGACGGCACAGAAATGCGAGGTCCCTCAAGGTTGAACAAGGTCCCTCGTGTTGGGATGTTCCCAAACCTTTGATCTGTGGTTGTTCAGACTCAATCCTTCTATAGCCCATTTATCTCTGGAGAGAGAAGATATTCAGCATTTTGCCAAAACTTATTTGACCAAAGAAACCCTCATTTCCAAGAACATCATATATAACAGTGCCCCAAGCAACATACTGAGGGAGTCCCTGCTCAGAGTCATCATGTGCTAAAATATACATGGAGTATGCAAAAACGGAAGCAGACAGCTAGTTTTCCCAAATATCAAAACTGGTACAAAGGTTAACAGCCTCGGCTTGCCTGCCGCAAAGCTCCTTTCCAGGTCACTTACCATCACTTGTGAATTCAAGAATTGAAACCAACTTCAATATTAGTCCAAAAATAGAAAGAAATATAGCTGTAAAAAATGTTGTTTCTCCCCTCCATCTCAGCTACCTTTTAAGTGTATTTTATCTTTAATTCCTCACATAGTGCTATATTTCAAAAAAGGTATTTTTTTACTTGGGAAGGAATCTTGAAGGATTTCTGTATATGTATCTATGTCTTGCGTGTTTTAAAGTTTTTGAAAAGTCTCTTGACCTATATGCAGTAACCACCACTTTATGACTATATATATTATACATAGTTGTTTTTTCTCATAGGATGCTTGGAAGTGGTTTTAGTGAGAATGTGCCGTGCCTTCAACCCATTAAACAACACTGTTCTGTTTGAAGGAAAATATGGAGGAATGCAAATGTTCAAAGCCTTAGGTAAGTTTACCTTTGATATGACACAATTTTATTAGCTACCAACCATTTCTCTACTAAGCTTGCAGTTGGTAAATAAAATACTGTCTTTAATATGAACTAGTATCTCACTTTCTTTTTAAAAAAAATATATTTTTACTGATTTCAGAGAAGAAGGGAGAGGGAGAGAGAGATAGAAACATCAATGATGAGAGTCAATCATTGATCGGCTGTCTGCCCCACACTAGGGATCACAACCAGGGAATATGGCCTGACCTGGAATCAAACTGAGACCTCCAGGTTCATAGGTTAATGATCAACAACTGAGCCACACTGGCTGGCCATAGTATCCCATTTCTGGTAAGTGTTGGACTAGGTGAGCCTCCAATGTTTTCTTTAACTCTTGAGATCTTATAAGTATGCATCCAAATATGAAAGGAAGGAAAAAACCATGGATCTATTGAGACTGACCAGGACTCATTCAGAAATCAATAAAAGATCTGGACTGTATTATAGGTCATTCTTTATAGAATCAGCCTTTCTTTTACCTTCAGCTTACTGCTTCACAAGTATATTATGTGGACCACTGTAGATCCATGGGTGACCTCTTACATTTTAATGTAGTCATAATCATTAATTAAGATACTTAAGAGAGGAGCTCCTGCATTTGTTTCTCACTCTGAGAAGTAACACTCGTCCTATTAATTTATGAAGTCTGGGACCACAGATAGAGTGGGTATCAACCTGCCCAAAATGACCCCCAGACCAGGCTCATGAGAGGGCAAGATCAAAGTCAGCTCCTGGAAGTTTGTGTATCATCCAGTCATCAGTGCACAGTATGTATAAGAAGAACATTAGCAAAGATGGGCTATTGCCAGGAAAGGTTCAAATGATTGACAGAACCATTTGTTCCACATCCTGCCCACGGACATCCAAGAAGGCCACTGCCCTTTGACCTGTTGTGCTGTTAGCTGATACACATCCATATCATCTCAAAGGCTAGATTTTCAAGAAAGGAGGAAAAGCCTTGGCAAGCGACTTGGGGATATTTCCATCTTCATAAAATAAACATTTACCCAGGATCAGTGTAGGGATGAAGCATTATTTTGCCAAAATTCACAATGGCCAACCAACTGACCTGCAAATCATTCATTAGAAGATTAAAAAAAAAAAAGGTGGGGGAGGGGGATGGAATGCTTACTCCTCAATCAAATTTCCAGGGAAGTTTCCGAATTGAAAGATACCTCATCTCTGTTCTATTGACTTTTAACATCTTAGTTCAAGGCCTTTGCTCACTGTATATTACCAGGTTCAAGTGCCACCAGGACTGATAGCCCTCAGCCCTTTATACATAATGTTTTAGATTTTCTATGAGTGCTGTAGCTATACTAAAGGAGCCCCAAATCACTTATTTAAATTGTTTTAGTTGAAACTAATTTCAAGCTTATACAATTAAACTCAGGCCATGTATTCATACTTGGATATTACAATGGGCACACACCATTTCCAACTGCCCCTCACTGGTAATATTAACTTTCATTACCTGGTCAAGATGTTGCCTGGATTCCTCATCTATAATTACTACTAAATTACTTTTTATGGATAGAAACTTGGAGATATTTTTTTCTATGTGCCTACTAGGTAAAATGTTGAATAACTTTTCTTACTCTTGCCCATTCCAATCAAGTATCTTCATTGATTTGCCTTCTTTTATAGGTTCTGATGACCTCGTGAATGAAGCATTTGACTTTGCAAAGAATCTGTGCTCCTTGCACCTGACTGAGGAGGAGATTGCTTTGTTCTCATCTGCTGTTCTGATATCTCCAGGTAGGGAAGGCTGGGGTCTTTACCTTTTCTTTTTAACCTGTTTCATTATCTTTCACATGGATGACACCTACCTCAGCCAAGGTGCTCAAGAGAAACTTTAAAAGAGCCATATTTTCTTTAGCAAGGTATTTTTAGACAATCCAAAGGAAAGTAGTTTGAAGTTAAATCAAATGGCTGGTTTTATCTCAAAAATAAGAGTAGAGCATGTGGTGGGAGTCATTCCAAATTCAAAAGAGCCAAATTATTCTGTAACAGGCAAATAAAAACTGATAGTGACTTGTTATAACTAAGTTCCATTTTGATTTTTAAAATAAAGGACATGGTTGGAAAACTGTCCAATAAGATGAAATGCAGCAGAAATATATCGAATGAAAGAACCAGCATTAAGTACAGAGTATACTTTCTCCTCTTAAAATACCCTTTTCTCTGGTTTATCTACCCATGGTAAGTGGGTGTGCTCACTGCAAGCAAATGATGGTTCCTTTTCTTTCTTTCTATTTTTTCTTTTTCTTTGTCACATCAGAGAATTTAAAAGAAGGTGAGGACAGCAGAGTAAAAATGGCTCCTATTAAGACCAGAAAAGGAAGAATCTCTGATGTAGCAGTAGACATTCTAGTACAGGCTCTGCCACCATTATCTGTGTGACCTTGTACACTTGCCCTTTCAGAGTCTCAGTTTCTTCATCTATAAAGTAAGAGAGTTGGGCTTCATAATAATAAAGACCTCATATACTTTTAAAATGCAATAACATGGCAAAAAGTTTTCAAAGAAGGTAAGGTGTAATATTTATAGATCCCATAGAACTGTAGCAATTGAGATTCTTTTTAAAAATATATGCCAACCTGAAAAAGGTATAGAATCCTAATCAATACCTGGCTTCTTCTTCAATGGGAATGAGAATTCAGAGTCACTCACTCAGCTGCCTATACAGTTAGATTTGGATAGCAGTGTTGTTGATAGTTCTCCGCTGAAAGAACGACACATTACTGCTAACTTTTACTGTCAAGAGACTCATTCCTTCAATAACCCATTTATTTCTAGAGACTAGGTCTTTTTTCTTATAGCCCAATGTATTTTCTCAGAGAGGCAGGAAAAAAATCAGTCTTGCCTATGAAGGTACACTGTGACACATCATTCTAGCTATGCCTACCAATAAGACCAGCCTCTACACTTTTTATCTATTAAGGCTTGTTTGTTTCTTTTTTAAATGGAAAAAGTGACAAATGTTTACTTCTGGTAGCAAAAAAAAATTCCAAATTGTTTTCCTCCTACCATTTACTCGCTGCATTTGATTATTCCCAGAGAGTGTAGTGCGATGGAATGTTAATTCTAAGCCTGTGGGTCTATGGTGAGAGAGGTGGTGTTACCTCTGATGCCTGCTTGCTGGAAGGAAGTGTTACAGAACTCGCTGTCTTCTTTTGGTACGTTTGTGGCAAGTCAATAAATTCCTAACAGCAAATACTTAAGACATGATTTATCAATCCTTAAAGATAACTCTTCCAGAGGAAGATAAGCCTGTCTCTTATGAGTTAGGAGTCAATTGAACTATGGGCCACTTTCTAGAATGGCCATCAAATTCTGCTGAGCTTGGAACCACAATATTTGGCTTATTCTACCTAGTGTGGAATCTTCCAACCCAGGTAACAAACCCACACTCAGAGGCCTTAACCACTCCAAATACCTTGTTTGCCACCCTGGCCTAGTGCCATAATAAAAAAGAGAGAAGATAGATTTCCAGACTATGAAGGCTCCACCTTGTGCCAGACCCCCTTCCTCCCCACCACCACAAGGTTCTTGCCATAATGACCACTGTCTATTCAGCTCCAGAGAGTTTAAAGAGGGAAGAGGGAGAGAGACTTAATTTATTCTGATTGACAATTGTCAACTGAAGGCTTTTGTGCTCACTTACGTAAGGGTTTGCTTCACTGTTGGCTAGACTTGTTCTTGCCCTGTCTAGGATTACAGAATCAGGTTTCTCACCTGACTTGAACTGTGTTCAAAAGGATCATGCCCAGGTTCTTTTCCATGAGTATTTTTCAGCATTTGGAGACTCCAGGTGTTCCAACCTAACGCATTGAAGTTCCAACCTAAGGCATTGATGCCTGGCTGGGCTAAATTTTGTCACCACAGTGTCTAGAGCTTCTAGGAAAGAAGGACAAAAGGAAGGAGGGTCAGAGGGAGGGATGAATGGAATGAAAAGAGGGAGGAAGAAGAGTAAAAAGGAAGGAAAGGAGGAAGAGAGGGCTTTTCCTATTCACCTTTTAAAAATTCGTTATAGAAAAAGAGGACTCAGGATTAAATTTTTAAAATTGATTTTATGCTTATATGAGGATTAAATGAGACAATACAAACCGCCTTTCCCTTTTATAAGTGATGTTATCATTCTATAACACTTCCTTCCAGCATCAGAGGTAAAACCATCTCCCTCATCATAGACCCACTGGCTTAGAATTAATATTCCATCGCACTACACTCTCTGGGAATAATCAAATGCAGTGAGTAAATGGTAGGAGGAAAACTATTTGGCATTTGTTTGCTACCAGAAGTAAATATTTGTCACTTTTTCCATTTAAAAAAGAAATAAATAAGCCTTAATGAATAAAAAGTGTAGACACTGGTATTATTGGTAGGTATATAGTTAGAATGACATGTCACAGTGTACCTTCATAGGCAAGACTGGAGTTTATTTAATCATTGAGTCCTTAGTGCATTCTGATTTCCTATGTCAATGTATTGTGCATTCCTGTCCTCATAGAATTGCTTATAAAATATTTATGTTCACTATCAAAAATTACATGACTTCAGAAGCAATTTAGAACAAATGTGAAATGCCTCTGACACTCAGCACTTATATACACAGGTGAAATAAAGCAAAGCTTACAATCCCACCACTTCTTACCCATTCTTTTCCTCTGTCAGATCGAGCCTGGCTGATAGAACCAAGGAAGGTCCAGAAGCTTCAGGAAAAAATTTATTTTGCACTTCAACATGTGATTCAGAAGAATCACCTGGATGATGAGACCTTGGCAAAGGTAGGTCCTCAGACCACAGACCCCTTGGTCACTGAAAGAGAGTGAAATGAGCCAAAGGGCACTGGTTGTATGAAGCAAGAGGCATTTCTTGGCAACAATGATTTCTTAAAGTTACCAAAGGTGCATATTAAGGTGCACATTTAAAAGGGAGACTAGTAAATTATAATAGATGGAGAGGATAATGACACTCCTTAGGACAGGGTAATATTGATGGACCTGAAACCCAGGTACAGGAAAACACATGAAAGAAACTGAGGCATGCCATCTGAAAAACAAAAGTTTGAAGCAGGAAATCAAGTCTTCAGAACTCAAATGTGGCAGAAGAGGATACTTTGTGCCACTAGGAGTCAGATCTGGGCAAAAGTTAAAAGGGGTAGATTTTTACTCAAAATATGGAATAAATATAAAATGATGAGGGTTGCTGAAAGGAAGGGTAGACTGCTGTGTGAAGTAGTGAGCTCCCTGTCATTGGCCATATTCTAATAGATACTGCTTGGTTTCCTCTCAGATATATTGTAAATGACAGTACTACCCAGAATAGAAGATTAGACTGATTCCTTGTAAAATTCCCTTCAACTCTAATCTCTTCACTCAAAACTTGCCCTGGGGGGGTCTTTCAAAATGACAAGTGTCTCATGGGCAAAAGCAGGCAACACACTATCAATTTCTTGATTCAGCATAAGAATAGTGATGCTTAAGAAGAGAACTGAGAAAAGTTGTTTACCGAAGTAAAATCATCATAAAGAGGAAGAGTTTTCTAATAATTGATATTTAGCACTATTTTAGATTTTAAAGTATCTCTAGTTTCTTACACATTGTAATATTTTTGAGGACCAGAATTATTTTAGATTTCTAAGTACCTTTGCTTTCTTAAAAAAACTGATTTTGGTGGGATGAGAGAAGGTGGAGGAGGAATGAACGATGATAGTCAGAGACTTGACTTGGGGTGGTGAACACACAATATGGAGTATAGCTGATGTGTTAAAAAAAAAATACTGGAATTTTTTATAGGGTAAGCTACTAGGAAATGGCGCTTATTCATGGTAAAGAGGTTAGAAATCCCATTCTTTGTGTTGCTGTTGTTTTTTATTAAACACTGTCATTCTTCTCTTGAAATTCTTTATTTTAAAAAGGGGGAAAGACTCTATTAGGGATACTATCAGAATTTACTTTGCACAGAGTGTTGTTATAAAAAAAATTTAATGAGTTAAATATGCTGCTTCATTATGGTAACATTGTGTTAAAATTAACACAACTTAGGAAGAACATTTTCACAATGTGGAGGGCTAGTTCTCTTTGGTATAACTTTGCACTTAGTGGGAAAAGACAAATCACCTTCTCTCTGCACCACTTTTCTCCCAGTTAAGAGCAAAACTACATGCTTTCAGATAACTGGGGGAAAAAGATGGTAATGTGAATGTATGCATCTGTCTCTTATATAACTAGCAAAATGCATAAGTATATCTGGCTAATTAATTGGGAGTCCTGCATTTAGTTTACCAAAATAAAAGTTGATAAAATCTAGAGTTAGACAAAAGTTGTTGCTATTCTGCTCACGGAGATTGTCTGCATTTCAGAAAATTCTAGTTTCATCATGTGTAAATGAAAATTATAATTCCTGGCTCCTGTATAGATGTGCTTTAGGTTCAAATGAGATATTTGCACTACATGGATTCTAACACACTGTGACACTGTGATTATTACTATCCTAGGAGAGTAAAACTCTCATGCTTACACCATCTTTTACCTTCTGGTGTCCTGGTGCTAGTGATCTGAGGTACTGAGATAGAAAGGAGACAGGGAAAATGAAGAATGAAAGGTAGTCAGTGGCAAGAAAAAAATTAGAACACGGACAGTAGGTCAGTTTCTCCTTTTTCCATCTTTGGTTGGAAAAGTACACAAGTCAATTCTTTTTAAAGTTTTTTAGTATAACTTGCATATGATATTATATAGTTTGGAATGCATAATACCAGTATAATGATTTAACACTTGGTTATAATATATTGCAAAATGATCACCACAATAAGTCTAATTAACATCCACTCAATTCTTTTCTTATAGTAACAATGTTGCAAAGCTGGGGACCAGAAAAAGAATTAGAAAAAGAGTAATCCTATCTAATAAAAGAGTTATATGCAAATTTACCATACATCCGTTACACTCAAAAGCCACACCCACCAGCCAATCAGGAGCAAGTATGCAAATCAACCCAACCAAGATGGCTACAGCCACAGAGTGAGCAGGAGGCTTGGGTTTTCCTGGCAATGGAGGAAGCCAAGCTTCCTGCACCCCCTGGCCAGCCCAGGCCTCTGCTCAAGGCTACAAAGTTTCAATTATAGAAGATAAATAAATATCAGATCCCAGAGCCTCTGCTTTGGTCACCAGGGGGCATGGCCAGCTTGCAAACCACCACAGGCCGCTCCAAACCCTAAGGGAAGCCCCAACCTAATCCAGGACACCCTTTAGGGCAAACCAGCTGTTTCCCACCTGTGCACCAGGCCTCTATCCTATCTATTAGAAGAGTAATGTGCAAATTGACCATCACTCCAACACACAAGATGGCTATCCCCATGTGGACACAAGATGGCCAGCTGGGGAGGGCAGCTGGGAGAGACCAGATCTGCAAGGGAGGGCAATTGTAGGCAATCAGGCCACCAGGGGAGGGCAGTTGGGAGGGACCAGGCTGGCAGAGGAGGGAAGTTGAGGGTGACTGGGCCTCCAGGGAAGGACAGTGGGGGCAGAGTAGAGGGGCGGGGGGCGGGGGTCCAGGTCTGCAGGGGAGAGCAGTTAGGGGTGACCAAGCCAGCAAAGGAGAGCAGTTAGGGGCAATCAAGCTGGCAGGGGGGCAGTTAAGCATCAATCAGGCTGGCAGGGGAGAGGTTAGGGGAGAGGTTAGGGGTTATCAGGCTGGCAAGCAGAAGCAGTTAGGGGCAATCAGGAAGGCAGGCAGGCAAGCAGTTGGGAGCCAGCAGCCCTGGATTGGAGGGGTGCAGGACATCTCCCCACCCCCATGCACAAATTTTGTGCACTGGGCCTCTAGTTTCTTGTATAAAATTCCCTGGAACCAGATGACAAAGCATTGCTTCTATGGGTCTTGTGTGGATGTTGGGTTTTTGTGTGGACCCTTCCTTGTAACTGTCATCATTTTAATAGGATGTAATTTGAACAAATGTGGAGGGATCAGGAGAGAGAATGAGATCTGGACTCTCATTTATGCCAGCTCTGAATTGTATGGCTTTGGATAAGTCACTCCATTTTTGAAAAACAGATTCATCAGCTGTCAGATGCTGGGGGAGGAAAGGCTACATCTGTAGAGGTCCTGAGCTTGAATTCTTTAAGGACAATGGCACTTCATCAAACCCACACTCTCCAGAAGGAATGTTTTATTTAAATCCGAAAAAAAAAACAATTCTTCCCTACCACAGAGTTTTCTCATCCTTTCAGAAATGTCCCTCTTAAACAGTGACAACCATTCTTATGAATGCTATTTATAGACTCCTTGGGGATTCTGGCAAACATTATGAAACCTATCTCTAGAAAAATGCACACAAACTCAACCGTTGTATTGAAGTCCAGGGCTCAGGTTAAATCCCCAGTAGGTGGGGCAGATCTGCCTCTTGTGTACTGTGCAACAACAATTTCTACCCTGAACAGGTGTAGTAGATGTCAGGTGAGAGATGCAGGACTCACCCACCGTCAGTGGACTTTGTCCTGAAAGAGCAGTCTCCAGTACACTTTCTGCACGACCACCTCCTGACATTAAATTCAAGTAACAGTGTCTTATACTTTCAACCAAATTTGGACCAAGAGAAGGTTTGAAAATTCAGGAAGTCTGTGCTCACTGGCTAAATTGTTTTAATCTTTATATATTAATAAATTTTTCATTTATTTGTTTGTCTAAAAAATACCCTATTAAAAATCTCGCTTTCTTTGCTCATCAGCATAACGATAATATACAGCATATTTATAATAAACCATCAAAAACACTTCCTAGCTGAGTGACCCTGAACAAGTGACTTAACCTCCCTGTGCCTCAGTTTCCTCATTTGTAAAATGTGACTACAGATAGTATCAATCTCATTTGGTTATGTTAAGGACTAAATGAAATCAAATATAAGCAAGCTGAATGGTTTATTAACAGGTAGTTTGTAAGTGTTGTTTACAGTTGTGGACAAAATAAATTTTATTTGGCAGGGAATTTTTTTGTCCAGAAGATGGTATATATGAGCCAATCACCAATGAATGAAAACTATCTCAAAAGATGGAAGTTGGGGGAGGAGGTTAAGAGGTGGACTATGGCATTCCAAGTGATGGGGGACAGGGTGTGGAGGCAAGAAAACATGAGGTATATTTGAGCTATGAATAATAGTTAAATTTGGCTGGATCTGGACTTGAGAAGTCTGGAATGAGATGACACTGGTCACTTTCACTAAAACTCATAGAAAAAAAATACATGTGTGTATTTATAATATATATATAATATACATTTTGTAAGCCCCATCTGACTAGGGGAGGCAGCCCATCTGTTCTCTGGGATATACTTTTTTTGTCTGTGAAATGAGTAGGTTTCACTGGATGGTCATTTAATCCCTTTGGCATAATATTCTTTGACTCAAAAAGAGGAGAACGAAGAGCATGGGAGGGCAAAAGAAGATTTAAAGGTTTCTCCTTAAGATCTTCTTTTGCCCTCCCATGCTCTTTTCCAGTCCAACCCCTCCTGCTGTGTCTCCTGGGTGATTAGAGTCATAGAATATTATTAGGTAGCATAGAGACTTTTCCCAGTATTCCTGCAAATATGTGCAACACTCTTGGAGGTATAGACTCACCCAGAGCTGGACTGAGAAGTTTAAAAGTAGCAAACTCAGTAATAACACATCATGTATCCAATGAGAAGGCATGGAGAACTCCTGGTGTGCCTCAGCCCACGAAGCCCACTCACCTCACCATATGCAGAGCCCAGAGGGACACTCATTTTTGTTTACCCCATCTGGAACACTTCA